GAACTGCTTCCTGGAGGTCTGATGTTCTCCTCCATTCGCAATTCGTTCCATCCTCAACTTCGTCCATTTCAGTATTGTGCCTATTCTTTGTTTTCATAATATATCAATCCATTCGTTCATTCTACAACCAACAAGCCCACCACATCTACCAGTACCTGCCATACTTCCTTTACTGCGGGCCTTTTATACCAACCCTCCTTACCAGCATTCTCATCCTTCTAAACTACTACAGCCTTTCTCATGCCCCTCAGCCTCTACAATCTTTCCTCATGTTTTCTACGCAATGCACCTTGCTATTATGTTTAATGACGTTAGGAATTAAGTTTACTTGCTGATGTTTATATTCTTATCCCTTCTGATTTTTCTAGCCAAACATCACCTTCTCCTTTATTCGAAACTATTTGTCAATTACTTTGTAGTTTTGCTTATAAAGCTGCCTCGCTACACACGCGAGTCGTGTCAGGGCCACTTTCACGAATTCTGCATTTAAGTAAACCTATGAATGGTAACCAGCCAATTAATCCCTCCTTTCATCATATGTTGCTTCGACGGGTGTTCCTGTGAGCTTAGTACTCTCATCTAGTTCCGATTAACTGGATTGGCTCACTAAAATCTGCATTATGCTAGTTTAAGGACAACTTATCGAGCTTACAAGTTTTTTTTCTTGTGGAAACTGGTAACTGTTTGGCCTCTCTGTTATAGCGACAAGTTCAGCGTCAATAGTGTTATAACGATGAAATCAGACGTGTGTCATCGTCGAAATACGCCGTGTTGAAATCACCATGTAAGAGCACAATATGAATCCACCCCGAGGAAGGTTTATTGTGTTGCCGCTGGTTGATCTCCAGCCCGCTCTTTGACCCACCTCGGGGGCAAGCGCCGGCATTGGGAGCGGAATTACTTGTCCTCGTTGTCCACGTATGTTATACAACTCTCCCTGTGTCAGGGGTGACAGTGTCTTATAAGAGTGTCAAATGTGCCCTCGCCTGTAGCCTGATCGGCGCTTTGGAACAACTGCGACTAGTGGCGCGCGCGAGCAAGCGCGTGCATCTGTGTCCTCTCCGAAGGTTAAGGTTATCTCGCGTTGACAGTCGTCGCCTGTATGCGGTTAGAGCTAACAAACAAAGACACTTGGCTATACTCGACGCCTCAGGAAAGCCTCCAAGTCTAGTTAGCACTTCGTCAGGGTACCGACCTAACACATTCCTTCCTTTAATCAACTGCATTTAAGTACGCGACAACTGAATTAGTAATCAATTTGTCACAGCCAACGTTTGTAATACATGCTATTTTGTAATAATTGCCATTATGCAAGATGTTAAATAATCCAAATTTTAGGAGGATTTGAGTTAAAATATCTGAAAAACATTTATCTTTTCTGTCTGTATCTTTTATTTACTTTGTTATTCGTAGTGGCAAAAATTGTACATTTATAAAGCAGGATATAAATTGGGTGCCAAAAATTGTGCGTTTTGGAAATTGTCACATTCCTACAGAAAAACGTAGACCCTAATGAAGAAAACCGTACTTCATTTCATGTTTAGGTGACGGGTTCTTTTTAATTATCAATTGGCTGTTTTTGTGCAAGTGTTAGCAATTTGTTTTAAAATAACTCTGCGATTGTTGCTTACTTTGTCTATGTTTCATCTGATGGGATCGAAATATTCAGTTCCATGGCAAAGTGCAGCGCAACCCATTAGGGGCCCAAATTGCGCTGGCATTTGCTTTCACAGCCTGGACCAATAAAAAGCACGCGGCACCTACTCAATGGCTAAGCCAATTGTCGCCTAGTCTAATCCACCCTCTAGCCTCATTGGTACGTTCCAACACCTCAGTATTTGGTTTTGCAAACGAAAGCAAAGGTATCACAACAGTATAGAAGCCAGGCTGGTTCAAGCTAACAGTTCTTCATCGCTGTGTGTTTTGGATTTTGACTGAAATGACGCGCCATCAATCGCATGTATTTCAGGATAAAATTTCCACTGGATCAAAGCTGTCCTTCCCTGAACGAAATTCGTCTAAAAGAGGAAATTGAAGATCTCACGCTAGAGGAAGTGCGTCTTGTTTTACCCGCCGTTTACACGGGCATCTGTCACCGTGTGTTAGGTTCAGAAGGGCGCTGTGTTGCAAATCCATAGGATCATCCTCGCGACCCGCGTCCTCTTTCTACGTGCATCTCTCCGTGGCCCAAATAGGGAAGGTAATCGGCACCTAAGATGGCCAATGGTGTCCGTGAGGTGAAGCTGTCGCCTACTTTTAGGTTGCGTTTTCTAGTGTTGCAAACGTGTTTTTGAATTATGTGTACACTGGCCGGATGGAATTTACGGAAGGAAACGTCCGGGCCATGATTGCGCTTGCG